TCCCAGTTCGTTCGCCTCCTCGCTCGATGCCGGGCCCGTGCTGTGCCTCGACCGTTGCGGCCGTCCGCCTTGCTCGCCTTCTCTGCCGCCAGAGTCTTCGGTGCCAGTCTCCTTGGGCTTTCCCTCACCGGCACCGCCAGTGTTGAAGGCGACCAAGCCCTGCTCAGCGAGGGCCTTGCCTGTTGCCAACTTCCCCCGCACCAGTGAACTGCAACCTTGGACTCGGGCGTAGAGACGCTGACCTCGCAAAAAACAGCGTGTAGGTGCAGCCTCTCCTTCCTGCACAGGGACCACCGCACTCCAGTCGCAAAAAGGTCTGCGGAAAAAAAAATGCTTTTGTTTCCCGGCGAGCGCGTGGATTGGAGATCACGCAACCGATTCGCGGCCAAGCGCATGCAAATACAATCAAATACACATACGGATCGGGATGGCTGAAATGGCTGAGCACCTTGTTGTTGCGGATGCGAAAGGCTGACCTTTGCGCTGCCTCCAGTATAGTGCATAGCCGTAGAGACGCCTATGATATAGCAGTAGAAAAAACTTGGAGACTGCAGGCGCCCGCCTCCTGCATTTTTTGGGCGCGCCCTCGGAGAGCCGCTGCCAGGATGGCAGCAAGCTGCCGCGGCCCGCCTGCACGCAGCTGCTTACTCGAGTCCCTTCTTCTGACTTTGACCCGGCTTCGCGAGAGTTGTTGCGGTCCGAAGCAGGCCCAAGCGACTTATGTGCATTAACCGCATTCCCCACGACTCCGGAGTTCCGACTCTCGAGCTCTTGCTTCCGAGTCTTGTCGCGCAGGCGCTTGCGGCTACTCGTGCCTCTCGGGCCCCGTCGGTGCCGTTGTGAAGGTGTTCTCGATGCTTTTCGTGACCACCGCGTGGCGCGCGGCCAAATGCCGGTTGTGTCCCAGGCACGACGCTTGAGCAGGCGGCGAAACGCAAACGCTCTCACGCATACAGGGAGGGTGCAGCACGCGCCGTTGCAAGCTGGTTGTGCCCGGCCTGGAGGTTGGCGGCAGGTTCAGCCGAGCGGCTGTTGCCTTCTTTCGGCAGTTGGCCCAAGGGCTCGTGCTCGCGAGTCACCAGCGCGGTCGCACCCGGCCATGCAACGTGCCTGCTTGTACGATTAAACGAGATAACGCGAAAGCACGGAGCCACCTTTGGGCGACCGCTGGCGTTCGTGACGCTGAGCCAATGCCCGCGAGCCGACTCACCGCCCCATGACAGACGCACGTTTCGTGAGCGGGCGGGTGTGCAACGTGGTGGAAGTGTTTGTAGCCTCAACACGCCGTGTGCGAGTGGCGGTGCAAACAAGTCCGAAGAAGAAACAAACAAATTTTCTTGCCATCGCGTGTTGTCTGGGAACTCAAAAAGGGAAACGCTTGCTGCGCGAAGTGTTGATTGTTTTTTCCATGCACACATGAGACAGCAATGTGCTTCAGGGCAGTGCATGGGTGCAAGCAGTGCTGCGGATCGTGTTGGTTAGCCAAGCCATGTATTGATGCAGGCGTGATTTGGAAGTGTGTACTGCAATAAGTGCGACTATACTATACTTGATTGCTTTCGCATGCCGTGCCAAGGTGTTCTGAAGCCATTCTTTTGCCGGGTCTGTTTGTTGAATTCGGCTAATTCGGATCATCGCCGTCCGCCGTTGCGGAGTCTGCGTGTGGCAACCTTGCGCTAGCAGCTGCGTGTGTCGCAGGTTTCCTGCATGCCTTTCATGACCCAACAACAGTTACGGAGCCGGTAGCAGAACCACTTTCACGATCGAGGGCAGTACGTTCAAGGAAGGCACCGCAGCAAACGGATATCTAGCACCTGTTCCTTCGGCCTGCGCTTCTGCAATGGCCGCATGTTCCAGCTGATTGGGCATCCATCGTTGCCGCCACCGGTGGGACGATGGGAAACGGAACCTCAACATCAGCTGGTGACAAGGTGCATCATGTCCCACCCGGTGCATGCTGCCAACAACTGCATCATGGAATACACGTTTGGTTCTACTCTAGTGGACGCTACATGCTCGAGACAACACCCCCCAGCTTGCAGTGACTCACGCAAAAACAGATTGGTTGCGTTGACGTCCGATGTCCATTAGTCGATCGTAGGTGCCTTTGAGCAGCATGCGCTGCCGATCGGAATCCCAGGACGGGCGACCGTGCCTTCACACATTGATGTTTTCCAATCCGCGACAGGTCCCACGATGTTTTCGCAACGTGAAGTGTCCATACACGCCGGTGCGGCCAGCAGTGCGCCTGTGAAGCGATCGCTGAGTATGGGCGTGGTTTTTGAGGCATCCACCGCTGACGGTGCATATGGCGTCGTAAACTATTCATTGATCGGCCCAGAAGATGGTCAGGCTCGGGGTGCATTCATTCTTGCGCAGAATCGGTTTTCTCAACAGCACCCTGTGTTGTTTGTTAGGTTGTGGTGTGTTTCCATGGTCTTAATGGATCTCGATTACTTTTTCAGGACTGTACTGCACTGGTTCACATGATGTGGAGCTCACTGTCGAGCTAAAACACGATTCAGGACACGGCCTTGTACCTGTCACGCTATGGTGGTTTTCGCGTCCTTACCTTCGCGACTTGGCTGTAAAGCAGAGAGCAGACAATCTTCGCTTCCGTGTTGCGAAGCCGTCAGCATGTGGTGAAGCGCGTCAGGATTTGTACGGACACGGATTGAGCAATGCTCCACCTGTAGTTGCTTGGCTTATGATGCGTGATTGTTAAAGGTATGGTGGTTTCAGCTCACGATCCAAGGACTTGTGCCCTGGGCGGTCCTGTTCCTCCGCTTGCAAACCGGGTTGCTTCTCCTGCAGTGGCACCAGAGCCAGGCAGCTTGGAAACCAATGCCTTCACGCTTGAGAAACCGATTTGGATGGACTGTGGCGCATTGTGTAGCCAATACTCAGCATACAGCATGCAGAGAGGAATGCAATACCGAATACCCCGTATGCCGTACTTCGTAGTCAGTGCTCCGCACCCGGCAATACCGAGCACGATTGCGGCGGTGCGACGACGACGACTGCTATCCTTACTGCCACTACTACCACTACTACCACTACTACCACTGCTACCACTACGACGACAACGACGACGACGACGAGGACGACGACGGCTACCACCACCACCAGCACCACCACCACCACCACCACCACCACCACTACTACTACTACTACTACTACTAGTAGTGCTACTACTACTGCTGCTGCTGCTGCTGCTGCCACCACCACCACTACGACGACGACGACTACTACTACTGTTATTATTACTACTGCGTCGACGACGATCACCACGACGACGACGACGACGACGACGAGTAGTAGCAGTACTACTACTACTACTACTACTGCTACTACTGCTACTACCGTAACAACTACGACTAAAAGTATTACTACGATTACTACTCTATGACGACGACGACGACCAGAAGGAGACTTGCCTATGTAGGCCGGATGCAGGCAGGCCAGATGCATGAAGGGGTGATAGGCCTGGAACCCCTCTCTGCTGAGCTTCTCTAGTCTCACACCGACTAACGGCTCGAGACCTTGGCGTAGCGCCTGCGCGCAGGGGAAGGGGATTATTCGCTGACCCCAAACGCCGAGCAAGCAAGCAAGCAAGAGAGGGAGAGACAGCCTTTTGGTTACTGGCGCATGGAGGTGAAGCAAGCGAGAAGAGGAACATTTACAAAGTCCTTCTGATGTCCCCAAGTCAGCCAGACCAAGAAGATTACGGTGCTGATGCTGCTGCGAAGTTTGTTCTGGTGCTAATTCGTCGGTTCGTTGCAGGCACTGCCAAAGAGCGATCCAGACAAATGGTGTTTTGCCACCCATTTTCGCCACCACTTGCCACTTGTCCATTCATCACAAGCGGGGTGCTCGAAGTTGTCGAAAGCACAGAAGATAAACCAATGGCCACCTCATCTTGTCAGCAAATCCATTGAGTGTGCTTGCAGTGCCGGCCAGATGTTGCATGCCCCTTCAAGTTGCTCACAGCATGAGAGCTATCATTAGCGCCAGGAGGCGCAGACTTCCGTCCGGTTCATGCTGCTGCTTGATGTTCGAGTCGTGCAGACTTGATACTTGTAAATGAGCAGGTGAGTGCTCACTTGAGCATCTTGGCCCGGCAAAGGCTGCAAGGGCCGCGCGTGCACAATGCCAGGTATGATCTCGAATTCTTTGTTGAGCAGACTGTCGACCTGCTAGAGAACATTGGTCGCAGCCTCACTTCTTTGCGTCGTGGCGCGGGATGTGGTGTGCAAACGAGATCAGGATTGGGATCTGTTCGGGTCAACCTGCTGGGCTTCAGCCTGGGAGGCCACGACTCTCAACTCTCGAAGCGGCATCGAGTCACTGCCAGCTGTTGCTGTTGGTTGCAGCAGTGCCAACTGAGGTGCCATAGCGATGGCATTTGCCAGATGCCACCCTGCGCGAGTGTCGTTCCAAGGATTGTTGAGCTGTCTCCGTGCCCAGTGTTCACTGATTTTGTGCACCAGGTCGCTCGTATTGTTGCAATTTCCCCCTCGGGGTTTATACCTCGAGTTCCGCGATTGTACCACGTCCTGCGCGCACGATGCCCAGCTCACGAACTAGGGAAATGCTTCTTCTATTCGGTGCATCGTGGTGGCCCAGGCATGCTGGTGTTGTTTAATTCCACTGGCACCGCATTGCCTCTGCACGTGCTGGTACCAGAAGGAGCGTTTCGCGAGGCTTGCCAGAACCACGAAAGACCGGAAAGCCAACTGCACGTTTATGATTCTGGAGGTCTGTTCGTTCCGAAAATCAGGCCATAGCTTCTCAGATTCTTGAAGGCACAATGGCTTTGTTATGTGCCCGCTTGTCCAGGGCATGGCAGATGAATCAGTGCACAACCTCTGGTCTCGTTTTGCAGGGCCCCCATTAAGACAATACTTGATGGGCATGCTCTGGGTGCTCCTTCGATGAAAGGTTTGGCAGCTCTTCGTTAAACGAGGAGTAGCAAGTGCCACATTGGCCACGTGTCAGCGCGCACGGCCCTTACTTGTAGACGTTCAAGATCTTAATGCAAGGTGGGACATGTATCTCCCAGGTGAATTGGTTCGATCTCTCGGCACTTTTTCGGGATGTTGGCAGGCAGTGGCATCGAGTGCGCTTTGTTCATTGATTTGTGCATTGCTTGCTGAAACTTAGCGAGGCATTCCCGGCCCGTCCTACTCGTCTGGGGCGAGCGGGACACTTTGAACCCGCCCTCAACCATTGGAAAAAAGGCTGGACCATGTGAACAATTCTGCTAAGGCTGCAAAGTATCGGGCATGGCTGATCTTGCCATGTCAGGTCGCTGCGTTCTTCGCAAATGCGAAGTTATTGGTCATTCCTCGTGCTGGTCATATAGCAATATGCGACAAACCGGCAGAGGCCACGCAGCGGAGCATGCAGAACCAGAGGACTTGCGAAACCGGAATGGGTTGTATGTTGCATGGCCGACGCTTGCAACTCCAAGCGGGAACTAGTGCCTTCAGCACTCAGCAGCTAGAATGGTAGAGCCGGTATATTGTTCAATGCTCCGTGCCTCATTTCCGTTTACTTCTGACCTGTCTTGACAATTCCCTGTTTCGTTTCCCCGGGCTTTGATCGAAAAGCACTCCAAGGAACCACAAGATAAAGACAACAGCGGCGAATCGTGGCTCATGGCAGTGGCAAAAACGACAACCTTGGAATCCACGTTGTTTGTAAGCCTAACAGCTTTCAGAAGTTGAGTAGAGGTTTAAATTGTACAGCCGAGGTCTTCTTCGGTCCTCGTTGTGCTTCGAGTTTCCTAGATGTTGTTCCGAGCGTTTCCGAGTCATCTTGGGAATCACGGGAATGACAGCATATATCTTGGCTAGGTCATTTTCCAAGGGAGCACGATCAGAGTGCAATCAAAAGTGCGGCTTGAGATGAGAAGTCCCAGGAAATGGCGGGCAACAGCTACCGCAGAGCAATCCTGCCCAACCGATCTGGCATGCACTTCAGCAGATTACAATGTTGAGATAGTTCATTTCAAGATGCTGTGCACATGCGCCGCTCTGGACGGTTCTGTCGACCTGCTGTGTCACAAGTGCAACGCCTATGAACAGGCGAGCGTTTCGATTCAACGAACCTGAATCTTCGTGCTCAACACAGGTTTCGTTTCTGTTCGCAGCAGCTGAGGTATCCAGGCCAGGTTAAGTCCACGTTGCCAAAATCAACTGCTCAAGTTCTCTTAACATGACGTCAGACCCAAGTCAGTCCAGTTTCCGGTGCGGAGGTCGTCCCGACGATACTTGGGTTTCTGCAGTTGCCAGACGACGTGCGTTCAACACTCAGTCAACGGATGCTAGCACTCAGAGTGAATGTGTGTGTGTGTATATGTTTATCAGCTGCTGTACGTGCTCATTTTGTAGTTGTCCATTCACGTTCTTTCACGCTTTTCATTCGGCAGATGTTGGGGGCAGGACATCCTTAGCAGTATTAATATTAGCAGTAGCAGCCAGTGAAAAAGCGCTTTGTTAAACCTCTGTTGTGAAGCTGCTGCGGACTGGACGCTGTCCGCAAAAAGTCTTGGTCTTTTCTTCTGTTGAACCAGGTTTTTCAAGCCGTGATGGCCCGTGAAAGCAGTCGTGGACTGGCGCCTTTATAAGTCTGTAGACTGACCCAAGGCCGTGGCACAGTTCAGGAACTTTTGAGTCATATACCACGTTGCAAGTTGCCACGTGTGACTCGTACCACCAAGCACGGATTCTGGAGCTGGAGCATACGCTCATAATAGACTCCTGGCAACCCAAGCTCAACTATCCATTCATTGCTGTGCGTCTGCAAAGAACAGCATGAGGGTTCCGAGCAAAGTCAATAACACGCCGGAATTCCGATTCAAAGTTCGGTCGCAGATTGTGGATCAAATTTCGAAAGAAGCAAAATCTCACGCTGGGTTAAGGCCCATTTAACCCGAGACCAGTTGTGTGCACGTTTTGGCGATTCCTCCGCTTAGCGTTGGGACCTCAACCAGGAGGCTGACCATCTTTCGCGCCAGCGAGCGGGCGCCGCTGTCTCCACAACAACTCTAAAAACTTAAACATTGGAGCGTAAACATCCAATGCAAAAAAGCATGGAGCATGCTTCACATGTTCAATCCGAAGTGTTTGCAGCTTTGAGGGTCAAGTGGCAGATGGACAGGCAGGCACTGCCACAGGAACAGGTTCTTTAGCTTCGCTTCTGCTGCACATTGCAAGCCGGGCTGCCTCTGATCCTGCTGGGCCGTCTCTCGACTTCTGCCCTCCGTGTCTCGATCTTCGCTCTGAGGAGCTGGATTACAAATCACTACTGCTCGGGATCCTCATTGGCCTCATTGCGGGAGTGCCCCCATCCTCTGGATACGCGCAACCCAGTTCGGGACCTGCTCCAGCATCCCAGGCTTCAGGTGTCAATGCAGAGGTCGATTGGAACTTCAGGCTCCAGGTGGCGAGAGAGATCGGAGAGTTTCTCAAGTCCAGCCTGGCTGGGGAGCGAGCAGGGGTGTCTGCTCGTTCACAGGTGCCCTTAAGAGGAGCACCTTGTACGTGCTTGTGCGAGATCGGCACCACAACGTGACCACTCATCCAGTTCGAGTCTTTCGCAGAAGGAGGCCCAGGTTGCCGTTACCGAGGCCAGATTCACCTGGCCTGACACCCTTGAGAGATGAGTTCTTCTGAAGGGGGCGAGGTTGGCGACGTCCGTAGCTACCTCGTCTTTCGCTCAGGGCGGATCTTTCCCTTGCGCCGCCGCGGGGGAGAGCATTGAAATCATTCGCATTGCTGAACTTGGAGTCCCTAAACCAGTTTGGCACAAGAAACTTGCTAAGCGAAAGCTCGAGAAAACGAGTTTAGGCAAAGTTTTAGGCAAAGTTTTGTCTGTTGACGTGGCCGAGGCTTATCTCATTGATGTGGAGACCCCGGTCGCTGAAGTGCAGATCCGAGCATGGGTCGGGGTCCTCTGGATGGAGGCCGAGAACCTCGTAGTTTTTCCATGCCCGGAGGATGTGACCTACAGGTTCGGGGACGATGTCGTCCGTTTCGCGGAAGCCTTGGTGTGGTTGGCGGACGACAAGTTTGCCTTCACCACGGCGGAGAGCGGGCTCGGCGGCGAGAACATGTTCAAGAGGATGGCTGCTGTGGAGATCGGCGTCAGCGAACTCCGGAACATGATGAGAGAAGCGCTGAAAGGCGGGAATCCAAAGGCTTCAGTACACTTGTGCCACATTGTCTGGCGACGGCCACACAAGACACAGCATCCATCAGTATCCGGAACCCACCGTTGTTTGGCGGGTGCAGACGAAAATTCCCTGGAAACATCCCGCATAAGTGCGGCTTGCTCCGGTCCGGTAAACTTGGCCAGCAATCGCACCGCAGGTGTTGATTACACAAGAGGGGCTTGGAGTAAGCCGTTCCGATGAGATTCTGCACATGCAACGCCCAGCTCCTCTGCAAGAGGGTCTTAATCTCAGAAACCTGACAATTGTCAAGGCGAACCCCGGTATAAACAAGACCCTTGAGAGAAAATTTATCCGATGCCAGCCAGAATCAGGCCAAGGCGAGCCAGCGAGATACCCAATGCCGTAGCCGGGCCGTGCGCCCTTGGAGGCGCTTCCGAGGCAGACGCAATCCGAAGCACTTCAACAGCTGTGTCAGGATCATGCAAGCAGGCCCTGCGAAGAGCAGTGAGCTGCCGCTCCAGGCAATATACAAACGGGTCCTGAACTACATCAGTTAAGGCTACAGGAGTGGGAGTGGCCCTCAGCCCCGTAAGGACACTGTGGCCAAACTCCGGTCAGCACAAGTCAGGCCTTGTTGAGCACTGCCCGGGGTTGCTTGCGCAGACGGTCATGCACTTCAGTTACCAGCTTTGGCAGACAACCCACTGGGAAGAGTGCAGCAGCATCAGTTTTCCACCGCACTCTCTCGCTGCATTTCGTAGACCAGACATGTCGTGCATTCTTTATGGCTGGGAATCAGGGTCAAGTGTTGCTGCTCGTAAGCTTTTTCGGCAGGCGTGCAAACAGACTCTTGCAGCTTTACGTTGCTTGTGAAAGCATGACCTTCCTAAAATCTTCAAGAATAGCTTTTCTTATAATCGACGGGCAAAGCGAGGCAGTCCAGAAAGGAAAGCGCCCGAGGAATTACCTCAGCAATGGCCTGTCGGCGAAAAGCAGAACCCAGCAGCAGCAGTCAGCCTAAGAAAGGCAAGCCTACACTTGCCACTGCAGACAACACATCACCGGAAAAAGTGTACACAACAGACTTTCTCACACAAGCTCTTACTTTGGACAGCAAGTCTGCATGTCGCACACTTAACGCACAAGCTCCCACACCAGTGAACAAGTGGACCTCAAGTTGGACAAATCCATCAACAGCTGGACACGTAGCTGTCCTAGGATGGCCAAGCTGAAAGCAGCTTGCCTCAAGCCCCACAAGGCAATGACCTGATTGTTGCCGCGACAGGAAAGGAAAACAATAACACAGCTGGACAGAGCAAGCAAAGGCGTCACCAAAGCCATCAAGGATCTCCCCAAGGATGAAGTGACGCAAATAAGGCCCAGAGCCTTGAACTTGTCAACATTACCTGCATCGCCACTACTCTTGCAGAATGACTAGGAGATCAACTCGTGAGTCGCGACACATTGTTGAGGCATGCACCTTGCTTTGCAATTAGCAGCTCTCCCTACTTTTGCAGTCGTTGGTTTAAAGGCAGCTTTTCATGAGCAGATTTTGAAAGATTTTCGATTGACGCTGCGTGGAATTGCATTGATTCATGGCTTTCCATCATGTGCATTGACGACATATGTGGTGCGAGCATCTCCTACAGATACATGGCAAATCAATCCAACTGAAGCAGATGATTGCCAATTTTCGTCAGCCATGCAGTACGTATCTTTTGTTTTCGGCAGCTTGTTCGGATTCTGTGGATGAGGACAGATCGCCATCTTTTGCATAATATTCAGAAGGAGTTCTACGGTGGTTGTACCACATCTGCTTGTCATCAACGTCAAGATGCTAGACTTCGCAAGTTCAAGCAGCTACAGTCATTTCAACTCACATCTTGTGAGCTTGCACTACATTGTTTTCACATTCGGGACAACATCAACAAGTACATCATGGTTCCATCGATTCAATGTCATTCTGCGACTGGTGTAAAACTTACAGCTACAGAAGCAAACCTCATTCAGAAGTGGGCACCACTCTTGAATTCTCCATTCACTACAAGACTGACGCCTACAAAAAATTTCTTCTACGACACCACGTTTTATGTTACATTCTCTTGTCAGCAAGTACGGTATGCCTGGTACAAGACTTGTTCGCAAGCTTTGCAGACGGCTGCTTCACAAAATGAGATTACATCTGTACCACCGACATATTTTCAAGATGATCATCAGTGGACCATTCTCTTCAAGTTGGCAGAGAATTCGAAGGAATCTTTTCGTACAGCTACATCCCCAAGAAGCGTGCAATATTCAGTCTATCAAATTTTTGCGTTGTACAGGCTTGCTAACA